AGAGAGAGAGAGAGAGAGAGAGAGAGAGAGAGAGAGAAAAGGAACGAGAACGGAAAGAAAGCGAAGAAGTCGAGAGTCGTCGGAATACATTTCTCGGTTGTCTATTGGTCCTCGAGATGCAAAGACGTCTCGAGGAGACACGACGTTTTTCTAATCTCGAGAGAGAGTGAGAGGAGCAGACGTGAAAGGAGAAAGTTGGCTAGGAGAGGTTGCGAGGACAGGGAAAAGAAGAAAGGAGAGGAGAAGAAGAAGAAAAACAAGAAGAAGAAAAAGAAGAAGAAGAACTAAAAGAAGAAGGAGAAGAAGAAGAAACAGGAGGAGAAGGAGTAGAAAATGATGCGAGAAAGTTTCATCAGAGTTTCCTATCTCCGGTCGGTTCTCTGCCGCTGTTGCAAACCAAGCTTGGGAAACGACACAAGGAGATATTTTATTCAGAAGACTCATATGAGAACTGCCTATATATGGTGGTTTTATTATTTAGCTGGCGATCTTCCTTCGCGCGGAAACGAGGATATTCGCGGTGGAGTATTTTGCTTTCGCGGTTTTTGCGGTTTCGGATAGAATACACTTCATCGCGCGAGCGAACGTAATACGAAAGCATCGGGATGATATGAAATATCGGTCGACTATCGGGTATAATATATAATTTCAAATATATGACGTTAAGTAAATATCGAAGCGCAGTCACGTCATGAAAATAAATCGAATCGTCGATGTCACCGGTATGTTAATTTCTTGTTGTGCTTGCGACTTACATGTATTTGTCTTTGTTAATGTTTCAATTCCTCTCGTCTACGCGAGTGCATAATTTAATCGGTGCCTTTTCGTTTATTAGATCGTGGGGTATCAAGTATCGATTATTCAGGGATCGATTATTCAGACATAATTCTGCGTCATCGATTGCCTTGCACGTGCAAAGTGAATTATAAATTTCTTTTTTTTTAATCGAACCGAAGAATTTATAATCTATATTTTTAAATGAAGCTTAAAAGCAGTATTACTTCGTTATCGTAATTTAATTTTCATCGAGTTCGATTCCCTTAATGCGCCCGCTTAAAAATGTTATCGACTATCGGTTCGGCATGCACGTTCGGGCAAATGGATTGACGTTTTATCCTACCGTCAATTAAGACGCGATTAAAAACGGAGATACAAAAAACGTGGAATAGGGCGAACAACACACTGGCGAACGGAACTGACTGAAAGAAAGCAAAGAAAAAGAAAGATATTCCTTTGTGAACGTGTCTCTCTGAGATTTGTCGATATCTTTCACGTTTCGGGTATTCATTCATCGCTGTCCATTACGACGGGCTGGGTGGGTGGGTTTCCGAAACGCCACGACTTTCCCCGCGATTATACTACATACACGTGATCCCATTCGAAACTCTGAATTACGTAATGAAAGTTCCGCCATTCTTGATTCCTGAAAGATTTCACAGTGGAACCCGCGCAGGTGAATGCGAGCCCGCCGCTTTCGTGACCAAGATCGTTCACTTTCTCGCGATTCAGGAAACCGTCGGTTTAATCGAACTATCGTTAACCGAGAGGACGCAAAAATTCGTGAACGATCGTGCGCTGCCTTTCCCTCACACAGAAACAAGAAATAGCAAAAGGAAAAATCGAAAAGGGCAAAAGAGAGAGAGAGAGAGAGAGACAGAGAGGGAAAAGCAGAGAAAGAGACGTATTTGCGGTAACCCGTAGCTTTTTCCTCGGCATCGCAATGGGCAGGCTTCGCCATTTATTTCAATCCGGCTTTTCGTCGGTTGACGGCCGACTTTTGAACATTCACGAAAGAATAGTCCACGGCAAAAGTGCTTAAATCTCGGGCTAAAATGTGCATTCGGGTCGCGCGGAGGCCGCGTAGCCGACGCAACTTTGAAGCACGTCCGACTTTTCTCATATTCGCCGAGCAACTTTTCCCTCCTGTTTACGTGCTAGTACAGTACCGTCAAGTACCAGTTTCGTCATTAAAATTGATTCGTATTAAAGAGAGGCTGGCCGCGGAATATTTCTGATGCAAACGACCACGCGGCGTTTTCTGCGCGTCCCGCCCGACGAGAGACCGCGATTTTCAAGGCGAGACTTTCAACTGACGAGCGGGATCGCATCGGTTGCACGATGAAAAGAGGTGGAACATAGAGAGACAGGGAGGCAGAGAGACGAGAGAAAAACGACAAAATACGGGGAGGAAGGTGGAAAAAGAGAGTAACACGGAATAAAAGGATGATGAAAAATCAAACCGTTCCGGTTTCCGCCGTTATTTGAATTTCCAGAGATGGTTGCGCGATAGACACGAATCAATTTCCAGGGAAACGCCGGACGGGCGATGTTTGCAGAAGTAAAAAGTTCGTGGAAAGGCTCTCGTGGCTCGTGCACGCGGTCCCTTCGATCCGTGCAAAGTTCGCGGACCATCTCGCCTGTGTAGACGCCACTTTTTCTCTTCTCTCCTTCCCTCTCAATTCCCTTCTTTCCATTCTCTTTTTATTTATAATTTAACGTCGCCAGCGTCTCTAGCCGGCGTCGATAACGCGCACGCGAGCCGGAATTCCTTACGTGCGCGTAAAAAGCTGCCCTCACGTGCACATTGCCCGAACGAAGCAAGCAAGAGCGAAGCAGGTGGTCCGCTTTATAATCCGTCGCGCGGAAACCAGGCCTCGGAGAAGCGACGCAGGTTTTATTTCTTCATTTTCTCTCCCCGCTCCGTGTGTTTACCTCTCGTCTCTCGTCTCTCTCGTCTCTCTCTCTGTCTCTCTCTCTTCTTTCTCTTTTTCTTCTTCTTCTCCTCTCTCGCCACTTTCTTTTTCTCCGCCGAACAATTGTCCGCTACTTTCACGCGCGAGATGTTTGCACACGCGCGCGGTCGCTGACGCTGGCGGCGCGGCGTACGCGAGCTCGCGCGTGTAAACGTACCCCCGGCGAGATTCGCGTGCACCAAGTGGAAAATAGTTCCGCGAAGTCGACCCCGTTTTTCATTCCGCGCCGTTTTCGTAAACAATACGCCAGGGTCGAACAGACTCCAATAAGTAAATGGCTTTTTAACGCAAGCGTGGCTCGCGGAACCGGGCTTTCTAGCTCGACGACCTTTGTCAACTCGTCATATGGCGAACAGTCCCGCGAGAATTTTCAATCAACGGCGCCTGGATCGGCCTCGCAGCGCCGGATTATTATTAAGAAAAATATTCCTTTAATTGCTTTTCCAGTGAACATATTTCGAACGGTGCAAGTGAGACCAAGTCTAAATATCTTTTCGAATATTAATGGTGCAAAAAATATTTTTTTCCAAGGACTTTTCAAGGTTATGTTTCTTTTCATATAACTCTATATATTTCTTTTTATTCTACCGTAGCTGATAAAAGCTGATAAAAAATACGTTCAGATATATATATATATATAAAGAAGATGATCTTGATAATTTAAATTTTACGTGCACATTTATCTCTATCGGGATCACAGACCTCAGCGAAGACGCGACAATCGAGTGCCTAATAACAAAAATAATTAAAGATATTTATTATTTATTACATCGTCAATGATAATCTCTTCTAGTTTGAAATTTCGATCAGTGTATCGATACTTGTCAGTAATTCATAATGGAGTATTCAACTCGAGAAAAGATCGATATGATACTCATTTATGGTATGTCGTATATATACGCGAGATGAGCTGCAATTTCGTGCTCGATTTGAATAGCCACTTAAATATGCAGCTTAAATCACGGACGGATGTAACTTGTAAGGAAAATAAACTCGAGGCAAAAATTGTCAAATAGGTCTTGACTGCTAATTAGCCGGTAAAGCAGATACTTAACGTTTATCTCGTCCGCATCTGTTCGTCCTAGTTGCATGATTTCGCGTACGACGAGATATTTCTGCGGAATCTCCATTACACTTCTCGGCTGCATGGATCCCTAAAACTTTCGTCGTGAACAATCGTTCGACAACTTGAACTCCATGTCGTGTGCATCATCCACTCCGACGTAACCTCTATTTTCATTTTTGTTCGGGTATGCACGGTGTACGCTCAGCGGGCTTGAGATCGATCACGCCGACGTAGCAGACGCGTGCGTACGCTTCTCGCTGGCCGCTGGTTTCTCTCGTTTCTACGTACTTCTTTTGCCAAACTAGACCCCCTGTGTACGAACTTTGATCGCTGTACGAGCACTGACGACTCATCTTTTGTTTCTTTCTCTCTGTCTCTCGGCCTGACCTCTCCCACATTCAGGCTGGTTGTCTCTGTGTCGCGATTCCATCGTGCGCTGGAACACTGTGACCTATCTCTCACGGAAATCGATACTCAGAGCCCGAGGATATCGAACTCTAATATCCTCTTCTGCGAGCCGTAGTCACATTGCCGGCTTTGCCGGCGTTGAAACGGTTCATCGTACCGTGAGTTTCGGATATAGTCGATGTAACCACTACGCGGGACGCGGGTTCTGCAGGAAATAATCGGTCGACTTTTGTCTCTGCCGGCGGTGGATTGAAAATATTACGGATATCCCTCACGGTTCTCGCTCTGTTTTCTTCGTAAAAGATATTGCTTGTTCTCCTATCCGCCACGTTTTTCCCTAGCCTGCCACCCTGCAGATCTTTCGATTGTGATTACTGTCGCGCCGTTCCCCCTCTTCATTGATCAGTTTGCTCGATCATTGTTGTTATTTTTCCAATCGTTCGAACATACGAGATTTTTTCCCTCTGTTCGCACAATTAACGCACAATTAACTCACGTTTCAGAGTTCTCAAAGAGAATCTATTTGGCACGATTTTACGTCCGTCGCCCCTTTTTCGTTCACATCGCCCTGTCTGGCCGTCGATCGTTTGGTGATGGACGAAACAGCGATCGAGCTGGTTTCATGCACGTCACCTCGATGTATTTTTCCACGGAAAATAGAAGAGACGTAAGAGGAAAAGGGGGGGGGGGAAGAGGAAACAGGAAAAGGCGGTGTTCGATGGTAAAGGCGACGTGAAAGCAACGACGCTGGCCAGCGCGAGATCGTTGAAAAGGGGGCGAGGGAAAATAGATGAGCGAAGACGACAGAGGGAGAAAAATAAAGGGAGAAAGGTGAGAAAACCGCAAGGTTTGCCACAGCGTGGCCGTTAAAAAGCGCAAATGGGGGATGGGGCGAGTTCGAGAGAGATGAGTAAAGGAAAAGGAGAAGAGGAAAAGGCGAACGTGGACCTCTGGGAAAAGAAAGAGGAGGGAGGGGAGTGATGGGGGAGGGGAAGGTGATGGCATCTAAATGGAGATGTCTTGTATGCAGAGCCGCTCCGTCAGAACGATAGCAGCAACTGGAAAGCCGTGTCTGCTTCGTGCAGAACTAAAAGACAAAAGTTGCTAAAAGGGAAATCTATCAGAAGTCTTCCTTGTCGTCTTC